ATGAATATAACATATATAGCAGTGATGATGATGATGATAACAGCAGTAATGTGTCATGCGGGATAAATTAACACACTGGTCCAAAGCTGTACTACTATCTAGCTCTAATAATTTGCAGAAATTATTGCGCTGTTTCTGTTAATTAAGATTCAGTGAATGTAAAAATATGTTCAAGCAAAAACCTTTGTTAGTCTAAAAGAGAAATTAATTTATAAAGATGTAAAGTTTTATATTTAATTAATGCTGCACTATTGTCTTGCTTAATGGAACTGAAAATTTTGAGGAAAGGAAATAAGTCAATATTAATCGCAAGATGACAATTTTTTAGTGCACATTTTTCGCATATTGAAGCTGAGACGTCTGAAAGTCATTTCTATTCTTCCTTTCTACCCTTCCCCACATCGTGGAATGTGCCAACAGGAAGTCATTTGACTTTTTTTAAACTGGGCTTTTGTGCTACATGGCAGCTTTTTCATAATATTTACGACACGCGTGTGGTCGAGTTTCAAAATTCGGAAAATATTTTTTTCTCAAACATTTTGTAATTTTGTGTTATTATCTGCCGTGTATTATTTTAATTTGAATACATTTGGCTCTGTAAATTTTATATCGGTTTTCATGGCAAAAAAATATGTGCAACCAGCTGATTTTGCTCGGATTCTTTAAGAATTATCCGATGAAGAAAAAGGAAGACAATGAAACCTTTGGATGAGAGAACAATAGCGATTTCCATTCCTTATTTTCTTCCCATTCCTTATTTCTTTCCATTCCTTATTTTCTTTTATTTCTATCTTTTAAAAATAAATAAAAAATTAAAGTTAGTTTAAAATGCGTTTAAGAGGTAAATTTCCTTGCAGGAAGTAAGTAATGCTACACTTACTTTTATCCCTACCAAGGTGTTTTCTTTTTTTATTGTCTATACTTGTCTTTGGTGAATATTAAAATTAGCTTCGATTTTAAAATATAATTATTAAATAATAAATTTAAAATTTTCTATAACGATTCATTTCTATAATAATTCTACATCATTGCATTTCCATCTCACTAACATGAGAACTTAAAAATAATTTACTTATATTTGAATGTGATACCATTTGTATTTTGCAATAATAAAATTAATATTTTACTTTTTAACAAATTTATTATCAATATTCACCCATTTCTGTCGTTTCTCGTGCTAAAAACGGTAAAATAACGGATGTCGTAAAAAATACGACTCGCGCGTTCTCATGTAAAATTGCCAAGCGCGCGTGCTGGTAGGTTAAACATGTGATGATATCAGTAGTTGCTCGGGAAGCTTTATGAGTCTCAGTATTAGAAATCCCGGCGTGCTGGCTGACTGCACAATTTTCCCCTCAAAGCTAATTATATTATCTCGTGTGTTTTGCCGTAATCCAAACATCCAACCGAATTATATGTTAGGATCTTATTCCGTAAAGCTTAACAGAACCTGCATCAATGAAAAATTCACCATTTCGTTGCTTTTATTTTGTGCATCAGCACATTCTTTCTTAATCTGATTGTTGTTATCTTATGTTTCTATCAAACGTTTCCATAACGTTTAATTTCCACCGTTTAATTTTTATGAATGAATTTATAGCAAGTTAATGCCAACATTTGCATTATGACAAAAAGAACCTACCATAGAGACTTCCATTTTATGAACAGACTACATGATGTGAATTTGTTTACATACACAGAAAAAATAAGTGTCCAAGTTTTAATTATTTATTTAATTATAAGTTATCTTTATGGATAACCATGGAAATCTATTCATACGCATCGATCGTTCTCTGTCAGCTGACACGTTCTGTTCATGTCAGATCAACCATAAACGATTAAATGATTTTTGTACTCAAAGATACTTCTGTTAATCAATCGAAATAGCTAAGACCAGTTCTTTGTGTCAACGTTCGCGCGCATTTTTTCTCCCTGTGTGCAGCTATAAGCATATAATATTTATATATATTCGTTGTGAACAAATGCATTGTAATCATACTGAAATTTTATACAGTTTGTTAAAGATAGGCAATCAAAACATCAAAAGATATCAATCCATATAAACTCTCCGATGATTTAGTTAGATATCAGTGGTATTTCGGTTCATCTAACATGAAAGTGTCATGGAAATGTAATTTAGTGAAGCATGCTATTACTCACTCCATAACTTATCGGCTTTTGACGATGTGTACCATTGGCTGACGAAGCTTTTCAATGGGTAAGTTGATCTGTTGTTGGAAATTCTAATTATTGTCAGTGCATATTCACAGAACTAGCTATTATAAATTCCTCAACTATAACGTTGACAGAAACCGATCTCGTATAAATGAATATTCAGTTATACACGGTCGATGATAATCAACAGTAATAGACTGCTTCACATAATGAGCGATATAGATTCCTGCATATTTGCCCATTTCCGAAAGAGCCATTTACTAGTTTCCATCAAAATGTTCATCAGTTTGAATTACCAACACATATCAGTAAACGAATTAATGATTTCTGTTACATGTGAAACTACGCTATTGAAAAGAGAGAAACATTTTAAAAATTAGTTTGCTATATCTACTGATATTATTTTCTTATGCCATAAAAATTCGAAACTATGCTTTCTAGGTAGCACATATGCAACATTGAGCAACAATCAGATACGAAGTTTTATTTTTTTAAACAGGTAAATAGGTACAAACTTTTATTTTGCAACTTATGTTATTTATTATTTAAAATGCATTTGCGAAAAGCGTTTTCTTTTTACACTGAGGTACCACAATGAACTTTCTGCCCTTATGCGTATATTAAATATGTTTACTTTTACTACTATGGTGATGCATACAAGGATACCAGTTAAGAGGAGATAGGCCTTCGTGAAGGATTTCTAATGGGAAACTGGTCTTCACCCATGTGGTACATGGGGAATGTCCCGGAAGATTCCATGTTGCCAGACCGTTAACCAAGATTTGAGCCCACTTTGAACTATCACTTGGTTGCAGTTTATCACTCGGCTGCTACTTGGCGATTCAATGATTAAACGATGTTTAAAGTGCTATAGTATTTCACATCTCTTTTTCTCTTTATATAAGTAGTACATCAAAAACTCTTAACGCAGTCTGAAATTCTCGCAGATTATTATTTTCACTGCAATGTTTTATTTCCCTCAAATGTTGAACTAAACTTTGATATGAAAAATGTGTTTGAGGGTGAATGCTTATCGATTGTCAGCTATTTATACAGGGTTCGGCAGCATTCATAGTAGGATATTAAAAACACACCATAAGGCAGTAACTGTAATTTATTTATTACCTCTTATGTCAAACACACCATAAGGCAGTAACTGTAATTTATTTATTACCTCTTATGTCAATTAAAGTATGCGATTACATAGTTAAAAGTATGCGATTTACTAATGTGTAAGTCTTTTTCCATTGCATGGATTAATTTTTGAATATGATGGCTGTCAAATGATGCCTCCTCTGCACAACACATTCATCTAGGCGGCGTTGGAAGCTTGCCATAACTCGGCGTAACGTATTCCCTGGGACATTGTTGACGGCAGTTCTGATACGATCCTTCAACTCAGGAATGGTGGCACAACGTGTTCGAAGAACTTCTTACTTCAGGTGGCTCCAAAGGAAAACGTCTGCACATGAAATATCAGGTGAGCGAGGCGGCCAGGGAATGTCAAAACTTCAGGAAATTACTCTACCCGGAAATGTCTGTCGCATGAAATCCACGCAAATTCCAGCTGTATGCGAGGTCACTCCGTCTTGTTAAAACTATAATAGTTCCACACCCACATCGACCATATCTAATTGGGGAAGAAAGAAGTCTTGCAGCATCTTTAGGTGGCGTTCACTGGTGACACAACCACACCATGGTCATTCTCAAGAAGTAAGGGCCAATAATCCCAAAAGAAGCAACTCCACACCACACTGTGACGCGAGAACTGTTCAAGGGCTTGATGTGCAGTTCATGTAACGCATATTCTGTTTAACCATTGAACCACATAACTCGAAATGCGCTTCATCTGACATTAGGATGGTGTGCAACATTTGTGGATTTAGGTGAAGGAGTTCACGCATGGTTAAGCAAAGTGTTTCTTATGGAACCCCAATCGCGAGACCTAATTTCCTGAACAACCTGCAGCTTATATGGGTGAAAATGGAGATCTTCGTGCAATATTCTCCTGAATGAGCGATTGGACATATCAAAGTTTGCGATGCTTTTGAATCAGACCACGAACAGATCCTTTTGGCTACGCAATATAGCATCACGAACATTTTCAACGGCTTCTGGTATCCGCACATTTCTTTCACTTCTTCCCGGTTTGCCATAGCAAACAGAACCTGTTGTTCGAATTACCCACCTCACAATGGTCCGTCCATCTGGAACTATCCCATGACGCCTTAATTGAAATGTTGCCGAAATAGAAGCTGGGTAGCAATAACAGAGTAGTTATTCTTGAAATAACTTTCAACAGCAAAGGCACAATGTTGTGCACGTCACCGATTGATATCACTGTCACACTTGAAATGGCAGCTCATTAGTACACGAATGCGGCACGAGTTGGCGCGCATTCATGACTTACGTCATTATACTACGCAAGTCAAATTACGCTATAAACTCTGCCGCACCCTACACTATCGCAATTATTTCTCTTTTTCTTTTATCGTTTTTCTATGAGAAGCGATAAATTTATGTTCAGTATTCGGTAGAAAATATCATTTTAATGTTTAGTTTTCATTACACTTGATATCTTATTTTAACTAACTGCATTTACTATTACGAAATTTTAAGTTAAAAGCTAATTCAATGTACTCTTCTGAAAATGAAGCCATCGTTAAACAGTAGATTAAGCTTTGGAGAACTATACAGCCCTTTACGAAAGAGAGAATGCAAATATCATAGGACCATAGTATCCCATACAAAAAGATTTCTTTATCTATAGTTATCTTTCTCTTACAGTTAGAACGACTGAAAAATTTGAAGTATTCATAACTTACTGCTCCAACTGTTCTGTCGCCCAGCTGGCGGATCCTGCAATGGAGGTAAGCAGTCTTTCCGAGTTGCGCTGTAACATTTCTTTCAGTGCTGTTGTCAAAATAAGGTTTATATTGCGGATCGTCCCAAAATATATTAGGTCGAGAAGGCGGCTCCACTTTAGATCCTCCAAAACTGCGTTCTGTACGTGTCAAAAAATGCTCAGCATTCCCATCGGAGCCTAAAAGGAAAAGTGCATTGGAATTAATTACTTACACAATTTTGAGAATGTCTGTAACGAGTAAAAAATACACAATAAATACATTGGTATTTAAAGACTAAGTAATAAATATTTTGCTTTAATATTTACCAGCTGTGATTATATTCATATAACCAAAAGCGTCATTATTAACGAGAAAACTTCCTTAAGTCAAACTGTGGACAGGTGACGTTAGTAGAAGTAGCTTTACATTCGCCTTAAACATTATTCCGAAGCCCAACAATGATAAGCCGTCAGTCGTTTTTCTAATCAGTCCAGATGTAGGGCAAAAAAATATTCTCATCGTGTTTTTATATGAAGAGAAGGTAGTATACACTATCATCGCTCCAACTAAAAAACGTTCTCCGAAGAAATGCATGAAACACTGTGGTGATTTCAATTTATACGACAGTTTTCTCTGCATGCCGTCGAACTCCATTTTATTTTCATGTACGACACTGCTTTGGCACACATATCTCAACTGGTCTACGATTTCTTTGAAGAAGAAGATATTCGCTTAATGGTTCTCATCCAAAAGAAAAGCTATAGAGCAGATGCGAACATGAATCGTATAATCAATCTCATACCCTATGACTTCGTCTCTAAGAACTAAGGCTCCGGATCTAAACCCTATATGGCATGTGAGGGATCTTTTACGGATTAAATTTACTCTTATAGAACAGAACGTTTAACTGCCATTAACGATGTTTGAGTCTCGCCAAGGTATGAAATCTCTTTTTGATAGATATATGGCATTGTATTATGTTTATCATTTTTTAATGTTAGATCAAAAAATGATAAAAAAATATCTTTGATTTATCTTAGATAATTTTTTTGCACATAAGTATATTGCTGGTAACTAACTCTTCTAGATTAATTTATATCCTTATAATGATGTTTTCAGTTATTCAATAAATTTAGTTCAAACTGATCGAATAATTTTGAGATGTGCATTTATTGATCTACTTTCAGGTACTATAAAACACAAAACGTTTAATGATCTCACGTTAATTAACCAATTAAAATAATTTTACGCTAACTGACATCTTCATCGTTGTGTAGTTTTTAGGTTATACTACTAATCGATATATTGTAGATTAATAAGGAACAATTCTTATCTTAATATAATCACAAAAGCAGGTTTCAAATTTTCGCATTTGATATATACACAGTCAAAATGTAGTTGTTTTAACTTTACAATAAAACTATTTGCATGATCATTAAATGAAAACTTTCTAACTTAAATACTAAATATTGATTCAAAGTTGCACTTTTATTTTAATTGAGAAGTTTAGTGTCGGAATAATTTATTTGAAAAGACATTTTAGCTTAAATTGAAAAACATTCGCGTTGGATTTAAAGTTTCAAATGAAAAGGAAACAATTTCATTAATTCGAAAGGAAAGAATTATAAATGGAATTTGAATATAAGACGTAGAAGAAAGTAACTCTGGAGAAAGAAAGATAAAAATAAAAATGTGTATTCATTTCCCGAATAAAATGTTCACGTCGGTTTTTAATTTTCGGACCCAGACTTGGGATCTGAAGGAATGGAATTGTAAAGATCAATTTATCAAGAAAATTCAAGACACATGAAACTGTAGTTTTCTATTTGGTATCTGAAACCAGAAGTAGTTTTAAAAAATGCGCTACCATTAAAAAGATTTAGAATTCCAGAAACGTAAAAGGCATAAAGAATTCCTTTATGGGTTTCATGGGGGATCCATTTTTTTCTCTTATTTCCTGCTTTCGGTCTCTGTATTTTAGAAATTAAGTGCATGGATTAAGATTGAAATGTAAAATATAAAATAAAAACATGTTTGGCGTAACGAATAACTTTTCACTGCATCAGAGTTAAGGAATTCCAAATGTAAATAAAAATGTTTAATGCTGATACATTTGATTGAATTCTCGAGTTAAATCCACTGCATAAAACCTTTTAAATATCATTGAAAGAAAAAAAATATTGTGTAACACAGAGTTATTTATTTTAAGTTCAAACTTACTTTTAGATTCTTGAAGCATTGAGTAAATTGCAGCATAAATAGTTTAATGAAAGATAAAAGTTCTGTTGGGTTATTAATATCTTTTGACTTTTTCACAATTCTGTGTTACTTCAGCTTCTTAATTGCTTAGTGTTTAGATCTTTTTAAAAACTGATTTTTGAAACAAAAACACGAAACTGTTGGAATGAATTTTATTTTACTACAACATGACATATTGTACGATACGTTTTCTTATTTATGAACGATTGTATTATTATTTTATTCTTTACGATTATTGAATTTTGAAAATTTAAGTAAAAAGATAATTCATTACTGATAATTTCTGAAATTGTATATTGTTAAGAATAAGTTCACAAAAAAAAAGGTAAGCGGACTGTAATATCACTTGTTTATTTTACATAACACTTTCAAATAGAAGGAATGCCGTCTACGTGACGACACAGCACACTTCACTCTTAGCACTGTAGCAATTAAAAAAAAAAAAAAGAAAGAAAAAAAAAGAAAAAGGAATAGAATACAAATCACATAAGTTATGAGTTGAAAGTTCGTTACCATAGCAACCAGAATTGAATTATCAGGCAGCAACGCCATCTATTGTTGCAAAGACACACTAGTAATTCGTTTGGTAACAAAAAATACTAAACATATATAATTATTAAAATATCTCATAACATACAAAATACGACAAATAACTCAAAGCAACGATGATGTGAATTTTCTGTACTGAAAAAACAGTTCAGTTTAATTCAGTCAAAAGGAATTGTGCTAGAAACGTCTTCACCAAATTAGTTACAATATAAAAATTTATACGAACATTCTAATTAATCATTTACTTCTTGTATATATATATATATTTAAATGCTTCAACTACAAAATAATTCTCAAGATAGTCTGTTAACAGAATATTTGTAATTATAACTATTCCCTTGTATATGTTCAGTTAAACACCAGTTTAATTTCAGTATATTCATTCCAAACTCAAGAAAAGGTAAAAACAAAACGCCAATAATACTAAGTCCTAAATTCGTTAAACAATAAAATTACAATGAAGAAGACAATTTGATTAACCTGCTTTAAAGGTTCTAGAATTTAATCTTACTGTAAAATTTAAGCGGAAAAGCTGGTAGGAATATTATCTGAAAACAAAATTCAACAAATGCAACATGATAGATCAGAATTTTAATTTTAATTTTATAATTTAAACTTTTGCCTGAATAACGTAATAGAGTTAAAATCGTTATTAAAATAGTATTTAAATGTATTAGAATGTTATGAAATATACAGTATATCATCTTTAGAATCTGGGGTGTTATTTCTTAGATAATAGCTTTTAGAAAAGTATGCAAGAGAAATTCATTCAGATTAAAGGGAAGAAAATTAGTTTTTTTAAAACCTTCTGTTAATACAGAGTAAAGTGATAGGAATAGTCTTTGAAATACACTCATGTCCATAAATTAAGGATAACTTGGAGTCACGCGGAAATCGAACTCTAAAATAAATATATCACCTGTAAAATCACTAGACACATTTTTCAAGAATCACATGCAAATTTCAAGAAGTAGCCAGATGACACCGATGGTACGTCACAATGACAAGAGTGTAAGAGAGTGATATATAAGAAATACAGGCAAAGAAGTAAAATTGTTCGCAGGCGCTTTATAAGCATTCCACTGCAATAACCGAATAGTTATGACACAAAGGACGCATTTGGATGATTTTTTACGTGGTAGAATTATCAGCCGTCTGAAATGTGGGCGTACCCAACTGAAAGTATCAGACGAACTTGGAATTGCCCAGAGTGTCATCTCCAGGCTTTGGCAACGATTCCAAGATGATGGTAATGTGAGTAGACGTTACAGCACAGATCATCCCAGAGTTACAACGCCGAATGAGGACCGGTATTTAGCAGTTACTGCCAAAAGAAACAGGCGGAGCACAGCCTCAGACCTGTCTCGTCAGCTCTCTTCAGCCACTGGTACGACAATTTTAAGGCAGACCGTGTACAGACGCTTAGGGAAGGTTGGTCTATATGCTCGTAGACCTGTCAGATGCGTTCCACTTACTGCAACTCACTGTCGCCTGCGGTAAGCCTGGAGTAGAGAGCATGCATTGTGGACACCGCAACAATGGACGTGTGTGTGGTTTTCCGACGAGTCCAGGTTTAGCTTGCAGTCTGATTCTCGCCGGACTTTCATATGGAGAGCTCCAGGTACCCGTTACCACCAAGAAAACATCATTGAACGACACCGTTACGGTGGTGAAGGAGTGCTCGTTTAGGCTGGAATTATTCTGGGTTCCAAAACTGATCTGCATGTTCAAATCGGAATCATGACAAGCCAAATCTATCGGGACGTCATTCTGGAACAACATGTACGTTTGTTTCAGGGCGCAATGGGCGCACAATTTGTGTTTATGGATGACAACGCCCGTCCTCACCGTGCAAATATAGTAATTGAATGCCTTCAATCGGAGGATATCCCCCGTATGGACTGGTCAGCATTCTCACCGGACTTGAATCCAGTAGAGCACGTGTGGGACATGCTTGGCCGACGAGTTGCAGCCCGTCAACCTCCTCCTACATGTCTACCGGAACTTCGGAGAGCATTGCTTTTTGAGTGGTGTAATATCCCCAAGATCAGATCCATAATTTGATACTCAGCATGCATAGGCGTAGTACGGACTGTATTGCATCGTCTGGGAGACATATAATGTATTAACAATCATACCAACCATGTAATATTGGTTTTTTGTAAATAGGTTTCTTTTGTAATTTGCTCCAGGGAGAAAAAATCGCTAATTTTTTTAATAATATCAAACATATAGCATCTTTTTTTGTTCTTTACCTTTTGGTTTGCTTCCTTTGCCTGATTTTGCATTATCCTTAATTTATGGACATGAGTGTAGAAGCAGTACTTTTCGACTTCTGAAGAAAAGAAGAAAAATTTAGATTTGTTATCTCGTTTATTTGCAGTAATAATAAGTAATTCTGTGTTTATGGTGTAGTATAAAATACTATGTACATGTCTGTGTTTATGGTGTAGTACCAAATACTATACTGTAGTACTCGATAACCTAGATTTAAAAAACAATCATGAAATAAAATCATCTTTTTTATTTTACAGTAAATTGTTATTTTCATGAAACAGTTGGAGTTAATTTCAGCAGCACGTAATCTAAGTACACTGCAAGTATTTTCAGCCATCAAATTAAAAAAAAAAAAAAAAAAAAAAAAAAAAAAAAAATTCATATTCTTCCTCTCAAATAATCCAATAATTCTGGCAAATCCAAATTAAGAATCACATGAAGTCCGTATTCGCTTTAATTTAGTTCATTTGAATTTAAATATTATCATATTTAAGCGCACCTTTGTCGCAATTTTTACTCTAAATTTTTAACTAGAATTCGAATTCGGTCTATATTCTATTAATGTTTCCTTTAACTCATTTTGCGCTTCACGCGCAAAATTCATTTGCAATCGACTGGGGGGGGGGGAGGGAATACCAGAAAAATATAATTATGCATTCAATAAGTTCATATGCATAATGTCTCCAATATTCAGATAGATTAATAAATATACCCATGTGTTGATGTATGAAAATAACGGGATTAGTTTAGACTTTGATTTTATTTCTAATCTCATGTTTCGAATTAAAGTTTTCATCAAATTATTATCTGATTTTGTACGTTCTGATTTTCTTTCTTAAAATGACCTTCTTCAGAAGTTCCCATTCGAATTAACAAAATTCACCCTTTTTTCAAACTTCCCCATTTATTTAGTGCTTACACTCTTGATTTTAGATTTAAATGCCACTTCAATGAAATTTCCAAGAATCCCACCCGTTCCCTATACTAAATTATCTTGGAAGTTTTGTTTCTGAACAAATGAATAGTACACAAAATACTTCCAGTTTATCCATAACATTGAAAAATTTCATTTAGTTTTACTGCTTCTTTTTTTATATAAAGATGGTATATCAGTTTCTATTAACAACAAAAGCCATAGAAGTATTTGCTTTTTCACTCTTAATTATTCGTTTAGACATATTTATCTAAAACGTTAAAGGATAAGTCATCAGTATAATTATTATTACAATAAAATTTAATCTGTTAAAATGATAACTGTGATACAAATAATAAAAATTAGTACCGAATTTTACTACCAGATATTTGCAGTGCGAAAAAAAGATACCAGAATAACGACTCCTCAAAATTTGTACACGCTGTTGATTAATTTGTAAGCGCTTCATTTATCTAAGACAAGCCAACGTTAAAAGATATGCTCACTGGTAGTTGCTAGTACTTTTGTAAAGTCAGGCGCTTATATGCCATGCTCAGTGTCGTTCAAAGTTCTTTTTGTATGGCCAAGCAGTGGGGTGCGTAGACGTTTTTGGTCATTTAGTAAGTATTCATCGTTTACCTAATACGAGACTACTATGTATTCTTTGTAGTGACGACGTCTGTGTTCAACGCACGCACTTTGTAGCGTAAACATAGTTTGCAAGTTTTACTTACCTTGAATATTTACAGTAGTTGACTGTAAGTGCGAGGGAAATATTGCGCAAAAACCACACACATATTGCGCTGAGGATGTATTCCTTTTTTCCAGCGAATGGCGGGCACTATTTTGTTTTTTTTCGACACTGGCCACTCCCAAGGCCGGAGTGGGGGCAATTTTATTCTGGAGGCACTTAACAGGCGGCCACTTTTACCTCCTGTGAAGGGACGAACAGTTACAACCATACCTTCTCCAGTGTCCGAACCCAGGCCCTTCGTTATCGTAGTTGGCTCCCCTAACCACAACACTATCTGGGCAGCTGAGGATTTATTCTATGCTTTTGACCACATCTGCAAGCTGCGAGCGAAGTTTTAGAAAATTAAAGAATTATCTGCGATTGTCGATGACCCAGAAACGTTTCTCATGCCTCGTAAATCTGGCAATCGAAATCAAACCGCATATCAAATAAATTATGACGATAATGTAAACTTAATTACAGAACAAAAGGCTCGCAGAGTAAAACT